CGCGGGCTCCTGCGCAGCCCGCCCACTCCCGCCCCGCCCACAGAGGGCGTGGTCTACCACGAGGCCCCGCCCACCTCATCTAGCCCCGCCCCAGAGGGGCGGGCTCTAGAGAACACCTGGCGTGTCTACAGAGCTGGGAGTGCTCTCTGATGTTTGGAGTTGGGATTAGAGGGAGTCTGGGTTACCTTTTTAGATGTTTATCAGATGTCAGTTTGTCATTTGTTGTGTTTTCCGTTCTGCTCAGAGTCATTCTACAAAGTCCTGATTCATTAAATCTGGTTCCCAGTTTGGGGACAATCCAAGTGGATATTATAAGAAGGCAATTTGAGGGCCCTGACAGGTGGCGTAGTAGTTAAACACACTGGATTCCCACAGGATAGACTGTGGCTCAAGTCCTGGACCTGGTGGCCTGCTCTCTGGCTTTCCCTTTCTCTCGTCAAATTTAAAATAATAATAATAGTAATAGCAAATGGAATTAAATAAATAAATCATTCTTTTTTAAAAAAAGAAAAGAAGGCAATTTGAAATACAGATTTGGGGACCAGCAGATGGCATAATGGTTACGTCACTGAACTCCTACATAGTTGATGACTGTTCAAGTCCCGGACCTGGAAGTTTAAAACTCATACTGGGTGCATGTGCATGCGTTCTTAAGACGATAATGGAGGAGGAGGATTGCATCATAACTATACCCTATTAGGGGTGTTTTCTCCCTCCCCCCTCTCAGTGTCTTTCTCTCTGGTGAGCACACGCAACTTCTGGCAAGAAAAAAAAATCCTAAATTCCAAACAAGTTTAATGTTTTCATGATTTTACAAATAAACCTCCACACTCTCGTAAAACATTTTGCCTGTGTGTGAATGGCTTGTCCCCTTTGCAATTCTGTAAGGTACCCAGCACTTGTGTTAGTTTTATCACTTTGGTCCAGGTAAATACATTTGTCAGGATTAATAGTTAGAAGATGTCAGTGTAAGGAAAAATCTATTAGCAAAAATTTAAAAGATAATAAAGTAATCTGAGCATTATTTAACTGCTCTGTCATGACTCATCACAGGATTCTGACATTGAATACTGTAAACTATTTGCAGAAGCATGTCTTTTAAGAATATCTGTGTTTAGGGACCAGCAGATGGCTGGTTCGAAACTTGGACCCAATGGCTTAAAATTCATGCCGGGTGTGTGTTGCGGGTGTGTGCCCAAGATCCCAAGAGGAGAACAGAGGAGAAGGAATTGTGGCGTGCCATCCCCTCTGGGGGGCGATTTCTCATTTTCTGTCTCTCTATCTCTCTGGCGAGTGTGCCCTGTAGCAAAAATGCTCTCTCTCTAAAAAAAAAAAAGAAAATCAGTGTTTAAATAATGTATGGTTTTTCCAATTTAGAACTTCAATTTCACTTGGGTTCTTATTGGCACCTAATCATTTCTGAGCAATTTTAACAATGAACAACTAAGTAGACACTTTCAAAAATATTAAGAAATGCCAGGTGATCACTTTTTTTTTACAGATCCATTTTATTATTTTACTTGATAAGTAATACATACCAATCTAACTTGAAAAGATACGATAAAAATGACATGGGTCACTACTTTTAACATTTTAGGGTATGTCATTTAAAAAAATTTATTTTAGAAGTTTTTGTCATAGGGTGCATGCATTTGCTGGAGAGGCGAATGACAGAGAGATACAATGAGAGTGAAAGTTTAAACTCTCCCCTCAAGAGGGATGGCCACGCTGCAATTCTTCTCCCCTTGGGATTTTGGGCACACACGCACATGTGTCTGGTGTGATTTTTTTTTTCCAGCCTCCAGGTGCAGGAATTGAACTGCAAGGAACCATGTGGGACTCCAGCGCCTTAACCACCATGCCACCCGCTGCCCTTGTCATTGAAAAACTTTAAATACCCTTGTAATTTTGGAATAGTTTTAGATATGCAGGAAAATTGTAAAGATAGTGCAGAGAATCAGTCTCTACCATGCAGACAATTTCTCCTATTATTAGATATCTGACATTACTATGGTGAATTTTCAGAGCTAATGAACCAATGCTGAAATACTATTTTTAAAAGAATTATTTATTAAATTGTATTTATTATGACATCCTCCACCACCTCCGTGGGTTGCCCCGCCCCCACCAAGGCGCGTAGTGCGCAGGTGCCTCCCGGGGACCGGATGTCAGCGAAGTCGAGGGCGATGCTGGGTGCATGAGGCGGTAGCCGGCAGGACAGGCCGAGACCCGAGAGGAGCGGGCTCGGGGTAAGACGCCCCGGGAGGGAGTCTGGAAAGGTTGCAAGCAGAATAGCATTTATTTAAGAAAAATGTGGCTAACTGAAGTTCTGGATACCAGGAGAAACCAATTCATTCAT